TCTAATTGATTTGAGCCCAATTATAGACATTAATTTGTTAATTAAATTTTTTAATGTCTACAAATGTCCCCTCAAGACTTATTTACATATTTAATATTTTATAAATATATAAATAAGTCTCGATTTATATTTTAATTTTGAAAGAAATTTGATTTAATTTAATTTATACATATATTTTAATTGGAATTATAGTCCATATGAAATTCAGTCTATGTGGAAGTCCCATTAAAATTTAACTCTTGGATGTGGCTTTGGATCAACGAACATGTATCACCTCTCTCTTTTATTTATTTATTTATTTCTTATATCTCTCTTTTATTGGTGCCTTCTTTGTATTATTAACTTCTTTTTTTTAACAAGTCTAAAAGAAATATGATTATTATTATTTTATTTTTTTTGACTTTACTATTTTGTAATAGAATTATAACCCACGTTGAACTCCATGTAATACAAAGAATTCAACTAGTTACAATTTCCTAATATTTGGTTTATTAGGACCCCAAATAACTAGTTCTCTTTTACTTGAACACATGAACTTAAAACACTCAATCCCTCTAAGACTATTATAACTTTTCTTTATTTAAGGAAGCTCAATGACCCGAGAGTAATAGCCCTTGAAAGTTTGTTTGTGAGTCAAGAAAGTTTTGTTGTTCAATACATCGAGGTATGTTTCATATTTATTTTATTATTATTATTATTATATTATTTTTTATTCTGACTTTGGTATCACAGTTGGTTTTTGTTTTTTTTAGACCTAGTTATATATGACTTTGTTTATTTTGTTAATGATAATAATGACTTTCAAGACCTCAGCCTATGAGAGATGTAAAATTTTTTTATTTTTTTTTTTAATAATTCGTTGTTGGCATGGACAGATTTTATTACTTTGATGTGTAATTGATTGCAATGTTTGCTTTCTTACCAAGTTTTATATATATATATATATATATTATTATTTTTTTTGTTTACACAAATTTAGATAAAGTCATAGGAATTATTCTGTTGTTTTAAGCATTTTTTTTTAAAAAAAACTTTACCCCAAAACTTTAATTTGAGCAATTTTTTTTATTTTTTTGATAAGTTCATTGTTTCACAAACCCTTTTTTTTTTATGACCTATTAATAAAAAATTTTATTTACAGACACTAGTACCTATATATGTTTGACAAGGTCTCATACTTTTGTGACCAGCAGCTTTGACGTCAAGGCCAATTTGTTTAAGGTATTTCTTCTTTTTCTTGTCCTCTATTATGTAAATTTATATTATTATCATTATATATATATATATATATATATATATATATATAGATATATATTTATTTATTTATTTTAATTTTTTTTTTGATTTCTTAGAGTATTTGTTCAACTTTGTTTCGAACACACAGATAATGGAAGTCAACTTTACGTGAGCCTAACCTATCCATAAGCTTCCATTTTTCTAATACCCAAAATATTTTTTATCACTACCTTAATTTAACACTGGATTTTATTTGTTTAATATTATTTTTTTGTTGGGTGATTTGCGAACTTGTCCACACTAATATACTATTTTGACTAGCTGTTTCTATTAAATAATTTTTTTTTTTTAAAGAGGTTAATGTTAGTGGTAATTTGTTACAAGAATTTGATTAGGTGATAAAATTTTAAATATTATATATTGTTCAAATAGTATATATATATATTTTTAATTATTTTCTTTCGTGGTTGATTAACCAAATTGATGAAGTTACATGATTCTACTGTAAATTTGACGACAACAATTAGTTGACCATTCCAATTTTATTTTGTAGACATTACAATCGGCAAGAGGCTTTATTCATAATTTGTATCAGCATCAAGTTTTGGTTCTTGTCACCGGATTCTGGACGACAAAATTTTTGCTTCCTTTTTTTTAATGAATTTGTTTCCTGGATTTGTGACATGTGTTATCAATCCTTTCTTTTGTTTTTGTTCATTATTTAATTCTTTTTTTGTCTACTTTAGTTCTTTCCTTTTTCTTTTAAACTTTTCTTGTTTAATTCTTTGTCTAGTTCTTTAGTTCTTCTTCTTTCTTTTTTTTTCTCAGAACTTGTGGTATTTTTTTTTAGATCGTTTATACCCTCCTTTTTTTTTTTATATATATTTGAGTATAATTGTTGCTTTGTAAATTTGACATTCATGACAACAGAACCACATTGTTCCCTAACGACTATCCATAAAATTTTAATTTGTCATTACTTTATGTATATATATATCTTGACAATTTTTCACATAAGTCAGTTCAAGTCAATCTAATAAAAAGGTTTGATATGTATGTGTGTGTGTATATATATATTATCTTATTCTTAGTCATAACTTGTTTCTTAATTTTTTATTTTTTTTTTGAACAAGTCATGATTTCTTGACAATAATTCGTGTCTTTTAATTTGTTGGGATAATAACCCTTTTTTTTTTCAAAAAAAAAATTAGTCTCGAATATCTTTATCCAAAAATTTTTGTTAGGTAACCTTTTGACCTAAGAATTTTATCTTACTAACTTGGTTTTAGGTGATCTTTCTTTCTTTTTTTTTTTTTTGCTCTGGGTTAACTTTATTCCAAGAGTATTAATTTTAATTTTAATTAGTTTTTTCTAATGAATTTTAGATGACATTCTCTCTAACAGTTTATAACTTTTGTGTTAATTATAAGTGGCTTCTGTTACAAGAGTTTAATTTTATTTTTATTATTATTAATTTTCTTTTGGCCACCTTAAGTATTTTTGTGTTGACTTAGGTGACTTTTGTGACAATTTTAGGTGACTTTCCATGACAGTCCTAAGTGACTTCTGTAACAATCTTATGTGACTTCTGTTATAATCCTAGGTGACTTCTGTAACAGCCTTTGGTGAATTCTGCAAAGGTGACTTCTATAACAGCTCAAAGTGACTTCTATAACAGTTTAAGGTGACTTCTGTAACAGTCCAAAGTGACTTTTGTAACAGCTCTAGGTGACTTCTAGAACAGCCCAAGGTGACTTCTGTAACATCCCTTTGGTGACTTCTGTAACAGGTCAAGGTGACTTCTGTAACAGCCCTATGTGACTTTTATAACAGCCCAAGGTGATTTTTGTAACAACCCTAGGTGACTTGTGTAACAGCCCAAGGTGACTTCTGTAACAGTCTAAAGTGACTTATGTAACAGCCCAAGGTGACTTCTGTAACAACCCAAAGTGACTTTTGTAACAACCCTAGGTGATTTCTATAACAGCTCTAGGTGACTTCTGTAACAACCCTAGGTGATTTATGTAACAGCTCAAGGTGACTTATCTATTCTTCTATTGCTAATATTATTATTATTATTATTTTATTCCGACTTTTATTTATAGCATCAAGGTTTATGAATATATATATATATATTTTTTAAATTATTATTTGCCCTAATTTTTTTTTCTTATTATTACTTTTCAGACAGCCTCAACTCAAAAAGGCAAATCGGGAAAAATTATCAAAATTTCAAGTTAAAGAAATAACTTACCTTTCGATGAGTGGATTACGGAGTCAAAAGATCCAATTCTGAAAGACAAAGTTTTGTGTTTTCCAACTGTTGTGGTAAAGAACTATAGAACCAACGAGCTGTCAACATTATCACTTAAAGTTCTTGAGCACATGACTGGTCCCTGCAGCCGCTCGAGAATAATCTATGAACCTGAACTTCATATGTCGATGATTAGTGAATATCCTCTGCTAGAGAACATGCACAAAAGTGACATGGTTAAGTAAATTGACTACCCTCACTTTGCACACTTCCGTATGATTCCAAAGATCATCTTATCCCAAAGCCACTTGTTGCTGATCTGATCAACCAAAGGACTGCGAGGTAGGGATGTTCATTGAACCCAAGGGGAGATATTCAATATTTGAATGGGTTTTGGGAGTGGTCTCAACGAATTTATCGCAAATTGTTAGATAAGAGTTTCAACGAACTTGCTTATGTTGTGCATGCAGCTTCTTTTGACTACTCTCGACGCAACAGTGTATATCGCGTCCTTTGTGAATTTTGGTGTCCACAGATGAATACATTTGTTACGGGAGCAGGAGAAATTGGAATCTCACTTTGGAAAATGCGACACGTCACCAGTCTTTCAATCCGTGGTGAATATTTTGAAGAAGTTATCCCAAGCTTGATTGTGACTTGTCTGCACTTGTTTAAGGCTTTCATCTTAATTAATAAGAAGAAAGGAGATAATCATCTCCGTCATTCAGATTGGCTTGATTTTTGGTTCAAGGATGGTGCACGTGTTCCAGATCCTAAGAAGAGCAAGGCATATAAAGCAGTCATGACAAATTGCTTTAAAAGGGATGGAGAACTTTTTGCAAAGCGAAGATTGGTGAGACCTATTCAGGCAGAAATACAACCTATGAAGACAAAGGTCAATGGTGATGATCTCGTCATTCTTTTAGATCTTGACCTTGATGTCACAACACGTGAAGACTTGGAGATTGCAGCTTATTTAGCTTTATGGCTATGTCGCTTTGTATTTTCTTCATCGGATAATGTTATTCGTCCACCTATCTTCAAGACTGCCTCCCAAATGGCTGCTGGAGTCACATATAGCTTAGTTCCCCCTATTGTTGCAAGCATTTACAGAGGTTTATCAGAGACATGCAGCACCCAATATGATCAGAAGAACCTCAGAATGGCTTCTTATGCTTTTCCAGGTTATTACTTTTATGCTTGGGCAGCGTTGCATTTCCCTCAGAGAGTTTATGCTGAGGTTGATGAGGAGCTTGATCGTCCTTTGCTTCGACAATTCAAAGGTACACTGAATGCTTATCTTTTTTATGAGGAAGAAGCAAAAGGATTTCAAGATCTTCTGCATGGAAGTATGAGTTCCAGTGATTTTTGTTGGCAACCACTTCCGTATTCTAGAAATCGAGGACCTCGTCGTGATGATGGGCAAAGATCAGATAAAACCTCTGAATTAATGAAAAGTATGCGAGGTGGACACGTCATGTATCGTCGTAGGCTAGTTTGCATTCTTGAGATGTATAACCCACATCGCTTTGCTAGGCAGCATGGATTTCATCAAAGATTACCGGGTACTCCCTCACATCCATCAATAATTTCATTTGATGCCACTTTTTTATATTGAGCGTGGTTGAGTTTAACCAGGATAAACAGTGGGGCAGTATTCCATGTCCTTAAAATTGCACTCGTATTGAAAATCGATGTGACAGTAGTTATAACAACTGGTGGAAATATGATGTACTCCCACACCTAAATGGCATCAATTGTAAAACCTTGTTAGCTAGTGAATCAGAGAATTTCAAATTCAAAGCTCAAGCTGACAAGTCAGGGAAGGGAAAATCCCTTCCTACAGTAGCTAAAGCTCCTTTACGTCTTCGAAAATGGGACACTTCAAAGGATTGTTTGAATTCTCAAGAACAACTGGCTCTGAAGATGTTAAAGGTCACGACACCTGTTTCAAGATCAGCTAATGTTCGATCTGTTCATCCTTTAAACATCTCAGAATCTGCTAGAGTGAGTTCGTCAAACGAATGTGATCATGCACTCCTTTCATCCCGCATGTCTAAGGGTATTTTCAAGAAACAAGATATAGGCTTGAATCGTGGAAGGATTCCAAGCGCAATTGTACCAGTTGATTGATAATCTTGGTTAAGAGAGGTGCCAAACAAGAGCTACAAAATTTGAGCATAATTTGGCTTGTACCCGGTCAGAAAATGGTTCAAATCATACTACTATAAAGTCTCCCACAGGCAGGGTTGACCCATCTTGTGATGCTCTGAATGACTTATCAACTTTTTTATAATTATCCCCGCGATCCCGCAATAAAGGTACTTGCAAATTTTCATTACTATTATCATTTTTTTTTATTTTTTTTTTTTATATTTCAAACCTCTTATCCCTTTTTTTTTTTTTTAGCTTTTCCTCCACTCCCAGATCTTGCCACATTAAATTCCATCCTAGGTATTTGTGGAGGCCAAAATCTTGACAATGATATCATTCGAGCTTTATTTGATGACAACGATCAGACCATGTCCATTCTTTCCGGCAATGGTGAGATTCTTCCTTTGGTTGATGGAGAATATACCAATCCATATGAAGGGAAAGTTAATTCTAAAACAAACCCTTCATGTGCTATTCAAGCAGGGCAAGAAGCTATTAATAATTCTGTTATGAATACTCTTTCTTGAGCCATATGGACCTGGTGAAGCACAATCTCCAAGACTAATGCCAATGTTTTCATCTGTCTCAGGTATATTTTATTAGGCTGATCTAGTTGCCCTTTCGATTAGTATGCAACTAATCGCATATCTTTATCTGTGTCAGATCCTCCTGTTGAAAGCAATTACTTCTGAAACATTGGCAAAGAAAATAATTCTGACCCGGATGCCCCTATATTTGAAGGGTGAATTTGATTATGCCATGAAAAATGGCTTCTCTGGATTGAAGACCTAGTGGACCTCTAAGTCTTCAAGTATTGAAGATACTCTTAAAAAGCTTTTCTATGTTGACACAAATCCTTTGGTGAGAAAAATGGATTGTTTTCTTATGAAAGTAGATGAGTACCTTTCAAAACACCAAGAAAGCGTCAAAGTTTTAACCTCTGGAGATAGAGATAGAAGGTTGGTGATAATTGATAGCACGATATCGGGAGGACAATTCAAAGTTCTTGGCTTGAGTGAACAACTGTTGAAATCTGAAGCAGAGCTATTGAGTCTTGATGATGAAATTCGATGACTACAAGATCGGAGGGCCGAGGTAACATCTAGCATTGACTTAATTCGTGATGAACGATAGAACACTGAAGAGACTATTGTGGTGATGGAGAAAGAATGTGTCAAACTCTAGGAGTCTCATATTCGCAGCGTTGAGGAGATACATGATACAGATAAGATGCGATCCATGTTAGAGAAGGAATTTGTTTCACTAGCCTCGATCGACTGGGTTGAAAAATTTATATGATCTCATAACTCCTCAATTGTAATTCCTTTATATATATATATATTTAGCAAATATGGATGTTTAGATTTTAATTTTTTTTATGTTATTATTTATTGTACTAAAAAAAGATTGATTTTGAAGGAAAAAGATTGATCTAGATATCTCAAAGAAAAAGTTTAAGTTTAAACATAATTTCGAAGGAATTTTTTTTTTTTTGAGTCATACACAGTTTTAACTCATACAGGCTATGAGAAAAAAAAAATTTGTTTTCTTTGGTTAAGCCATACACAGTTTTAACTCATACTGGCCAAGAGTAAAAAAAGTTTTTTTTTTTTTTTTGAGTTAAGCCGTACACAGTTTTAACTCATGCGGCCTAGGAGTAAAAAAGTTTTTTTTTTGGTTAAGCTAAGTAAATTTTTTTTTTTTTGGGTTAAGCCGTACACAGTTTTAACTCTTGCAGGCCAGGAGAAACATGATGTTTAAGTTCGTGCGTAAAAGAGCGCATGGACCTCTATTTTTTGTCAAGTCGTACACAATTTTAGCTCATGCGGGCCAGGAGCAACAAGTTTTTTTTTTTTAGGTTGGCGTCGTGCACAGTTTTAACTCATGTGGGCCAGGAGTAACATACAGTTTAAGCTCGTGCATAAAGGAGCATTGCTTGTTTTCAGGCATAGAAGCGCTTTAAGAATTTTCCATTGACTGGGTCAACCCTCAAGTCATCTTTGTCAACAATCTTGTATGCGCCGTTGGTGTAGACTTCTTTCACCACATATGGACCATCCCATTTTGGCATGAATTTTTTACCAGTGCGATGCAGAATGACAATGGGTCTTCGAATTGCAAGGACCAAATCTCTTATTTGGAATGATCGGACACGAACCCTCTTATTGAAGGCTTTGAAAAGTTTGGCTTGGTAACATTCTAGGTTTTGTTGTGCATCTAATCTCTTCTCGTCAAGTGCTTCAAGCTCATCTAGACGTAAATGAACATTTTCTTCATTTGTGAGTTCTTCTTGTAAGGCGATCCACAGGGAGGGAATTTGACGTTCTAAAGGAAGAACAACTTCAACGCCATACACAAGGGAATATGGAGTAACTTGTGTTGGAGTTCGGTATGTTCAATATGCCCAGAGAGCTTCACCAACCCTTTCATGTCAATCCTTCTTTGATTTGGAGACAACTTTCTTCAACAAGTTGCACAAGGTTTTATTGAAGGCTTCTGCGAGTCCATTGGCTGGTGCGTTGTACATAGATGAATTATGTTGTACAAACTCAAATTTGATGCAGAGCTTGACCAAGAGGCTATTGACAAATGGTTTTCCATTATCAGTGATAATGTAACGAGGTACACCATACCGATATATAATATTAGTTCGAATAAAGCCGACAACATTTTCTTTTTTTTACTTCTTTAAGAGGAACTGCTTCCGCCCACTTGGAGAAATAATCGATTGCTACTAAGATGTAAAGATGTCTTGTTGACGATTTTGGAGTCAAAGGTCCTACGACATCAAGTTCCCATGCATCAAAAGACCATGATACGACTGTAGGATGTAATGGTTCAGGTGGCTGGTGAATAAAGTTGGCATGGAACTGACAAGCTTGACATTTCTTAGCGTAACTCATCGAGTCTTGTACCATAGTGGGCCAGTAATACCCCAATCTCTTTATGCGAAAATGTAATTTAAGCCCTAATTGATGAGCACCATAGATTCCAGAATGAGCTTCTTCGAGTGCTTGAGCAGCTTCATCTTCATCCAAACAACGCAGAAAAATACCATCAAATGAACGACGATAGAGGATGCATTTATAATAAATAAATCAAGGAGCTCTTCATCGTATCTCAATTCTATGATGTGGGTCATTTGGTAATTTTTCATACTACAAATAATCAATCAAAGGTTGCCTCCAATCTTCATTTTCAACTTGCACTACTGAAATGGTAGTAACTTCCTCCATTTTAGGGAGTAACGGAGGTATTACCCATCTTTGACAAATTGGAACTAAAATTATTTGGTAATAAGGTTTTGTAAGCATAACGGCAAGATTGGCAAGAGCATCAGCATATTTGTTTTCACCGCATGGTACGTTTTCAATGGTGACTCGATCAAACTGACTTATTTGTTGAGTTGCATAGTGACAGTATGGAATCAAATCTGGTTTGTGAACATCATACAACTCCAAAACCTGATGAACTACCAGCTGCGAGTCTCCATAGATTTCCAACTAAGAGAGCTGCATATCAAGTGCCATTTCTAAGCCAATGATCAAAGCTTGGTACTCTATCATGTTATTAGAGCAAGACTCTGTCAAGGTAATTACGTAAGGCAATACTTCATCTTCAGGGGTAATGAAGACCACACCTGCACTAGCTTCATACCCTCGAGCAACACCATCAAAGTAAAACTTCCAAGACGGTATGAAGTTAGTGAAAAAACTTCTTCATCTGGCAATTCTTTTGGTAGCTCCTAGTCTGTAGGGATCGGGTGATTTGCAAGAAAATCAGCTAATGCTTGTCCTTTGACTGCTCTTTGTGGAACATAAACTATATCATATTCAGACAATAGAAGTACCCATTTTGCCAACCTTTCCAAGAGAACCGGTCTTGACTTAATGTACTTGACAGGATCAGATTTTGAAATGAGATGAACAACATGAGCCAGCATATAATGCCTCAACTTCTTTGTAGCGAAGACTAATGCAAGGCACATCTTTTCAATAGGTGAGTAGTTTAATTCTGCACCTACTAATGTCCGACTCAGATAGTATAATGCTTTTTCATTTCCATCGTCATTAACTTGTGCTAAGAGTGCTCCTAATGACTGTTCTTGGGCAGCAATATAAAGGATCAATGGTTCTCCTTAAATTGGTGTTGCGAGGACTGGGGGATGAATGAGATATTGATTTATATTTTCAAAAACATTCTGACAGGCATCATCCCATTCAAAAGGAATACCCTTCTTCATTAGTTTATTGAATGGATGACAACGTCCGGCAAGGTTCGAGATAAATCTTCGTATATAGGCAAGTCTTCCTTGAAGACTTTTCAGGTCATGCAGATTGCGAGGCTCTAGCATCTTTAGGATAGCCTCTATTTTTGATTGATCAATCTCGATGCCTGATAATAAATCTGAGGAACTTGCCAGAGGTAACCCCAAAGGCACACTTTAAGGGATTCATTTTTAGTTGATATCTCCGAAGTCGTTCAAAAATGTTGCGCAAGTCATCAAGATGATCTTCACATCTTCTTGTCTTTACGACCAGGTCATCAACATAACATTCAACCTTTTTGTGTAGTACATCATCAAAAATCTTTTGCATTGCACGTTGATATGTGGCACCAGCATTCTTGAGTCCGAAGGGCATCACTCTGTAATAATAAACTCCCTTGGGGGTTCGAAATGTAGTGAATTCTTCGTCCTTAGGGTCCATTCAAATTTGATTGTATCCAGAGGAACCATCCATGAAAGATAAGACCTCATGTCCCGTAGTCGCATCAACCATGAGTTCTGTAATCGGCAATGGAAAGTCATATTTCGGATATGCTTGATTTAAATCTCTGAAATCAACACAAACTCAAATTTGTCTATTTTTCTTTCTGACAGGTACAATATTAGCAATCCATGTTGGATATTTGACTTCTCAAATGAATCCAGCGTCTATCAACTTGTTGACTTTAACTTCGATCTGCGGGACTAGTTC